AAAAAGTACAAGATGGAAATTTTCATGATTCATAATCTAGATATGTGATGCTAGGATTTTTTTGAAACCAAAACAAGGATAATGTATCTTGCATAAGGAAAAAAAATGGTTATCACCCAACCGCAGAGCAAAATCCAGTTCTTTTTTAAGATTTACTACTGTACAGTAAAATCAAAGCGCAATCATGAAATTGCCTAAAATTAAACGGGTACAAACACGAAAAAGAACCACCAACAGAGAAAATAAAAGGTGAAAAAGAACCTCAATCTAGCAGCTTGAATATAAGCCTCTTTTGATGCAGCAATCGAAGCCATAGGCTGAAGTAAACAACAAACAAAAAACATGGCTTTATACACAATCCACCAAATGCTCAGTTAACCCTATGAATACAAAAGCTATTCACCTCTTGGACTCGGTCGGGTAGCTTGTCGAGGGATGGGGGCGGTGAATCCGGCCTCGTTGCTGGTGAACGTCATCTACTGGTGTGCGAGCGGATGAACTGGAGGGGGAGGACGCGTCGGAGTCGGGATCGGAGAATAGGGGCGGTGAAAGTGGTGGCGGCGAAGAAGCAGTGGAAGAATGCAATTTTTTGGGTGACATGGCAATGAACAACCATGGACGTCCGATTTGTTCAGGCGATGAGAAGTGGCGGCGAAATTGGAGTTAGAGTTTTGGAAGACAGAAAGGAGAGACCGACAAATCTGTTGTAGGGTTTGGAAAATGAAAGTAAATCTCACACAGCCCCTTGGTTAAGAATTAAGCAAATTAAACGACGTCATCTTGTAACAATAAAAATTAAAAAAATGCAAAAGCTGAAAAACTGTAGTGACTATACTAACCCCATTAACATGTAGACCTAAAAACAAAAACCACATACATGAGGGGCATTTTGGGTATAAAAAGGACACATGTTAAGTTTTTAACCCCTACAACTTTTTCTTATATGTTAAAGGGAGATATTATATTGCATTTCAAAATCCAAATTGCTAATAAGTAATAGCCAAAAGTCTCCAAATTCCAAATGAATCTCAATTCTTTATTTTATGCACTTATCTAGTGATTGGTACACTTGTTTTAAGGTGTAAACTATAGCAGAGTTGAGTTCGAACTCTTTGTTCGAAGTTTTATCGAGTCGAGTCGGGCTGCGCGGAACTCCGTTCGTTAACTAAACAAGTGGGGAACCACTATTGATCCTCTTTAAAAAAAAAAAAAAAGTCGAGTCGGACTGAGATGATGACAAACAGTTCGCTTTGTTTAACAACTCTACTTGTACATTTCAAGTAATAATTAATGAACATAGCTACATCTCTCAAAAGGATTGTAATATGAGGCGTACCTTGGAAAAAAAAATCAAGATTTACTGTTTCATTAACATATTCCATCTTGTTTTTTAATTCGCTAGATAAATGACACATTATATCTACAAATATGACATTATCATGTGCACGTATCATTCTTCAAATAAAATGATGGATCCTTCATGAAAAACTTATGTTATTATAGGGCTGCAAACAAATCGAGCTGCTCGTGAGCGCTGAATCAAAGCTAGGCCCAAGCTAAACTCGAGCCGAGCTCCAATGGCTCGAGCATGTTATCGAGTCGATCTTGAGCGTAGGTTTTGAAAGGTCGAGCAACTCAAAAGATATATAATGAATTACTAATATAACCCTTATATATAAATAATACAATATTTTATGTATGTAGTAATTTTACTTGAAAGGTCGACCAATTTGTCGAACATTTTGATTTCAATCGATCTCGAGTCGAGCTTGAGCAATTGTCTTCTTTTGTCGAGTCGATCTCGAGCATCTTTCATCGATCTCGTGCAGGTAAAAAAAAAATCAATGTTACTCGATAAGGTCAATGTTCGACTCGGCGCGGTTCATTTGAAGTACTATGCCATTCTATACCTACATTCTTGTTTTGGTGGTTTCAAAAATAAAAATTGTTTGTGTGAATTAACTTAATCATACTTAACAACCTCAAGATAACGTGGGAGCTCTTTGAATGAATGAGAAAAGCTTGTCCAAATGAAGTAAATGCTTTCGGACACGATAAATATGGAGACTGTACAGTGCAGCTGCCAACGTCACCACCACGAATGACAAAATTGTCAATTTCCAGAAATCCTACAATCACAAAAAATGAAAATAAAAATAAATAAATTGGACAATAATTTTTTTTCACTGCTGTTGAGCTCAACTTTTTAAGGCTCGGCTCGACTCGACTCGACAATGATAACAATAACCTGTGGATTTGAGATTAGCAATCCCATAACATAAGTCATCAAATCGAGCATGGATTGGAGCGAATTTTGTACGCCTCCAACGACACATCGATCAGATTCGGCTACATGATCCTATATATATAAACACAAACATAATATAAAATTTGTAATTCTATTTACTTCGAAAACTTGGTTATCAGGTCGTGTTCGTACCTGCATTTGCTGAACGACCGACAAGTCGAACATCCACAAACCGAGCCGTGACAAAGCCACTCCTCCCATAAGCAAATATGCCGAAACGAGCCTCTTCTCCTTGACGAAAACCGAGACCACGCATAGCAAGAGACAAGTCCACTAACAAGTAAAAAACGTTCAAAATGAAATAAAATTACATATATATGTAAACCGATGAAATATAATGAAAATGAAGTTACTAACTTGAGACCAAATCGACCAGAGTCCCGTCCTAAGTGTCGAAATACGAGACTCCATAATCGGGTACACGAAAGTCGCTAATATCCCCACCGTAGCACTAATCCCACGCATTGTCCCAATAATGTAAGCTTCTATGCCTTCCCATTCTAAAGCAGCCGTCATTAACGTCCCAAAGCTATCAAAAAATCGCGTTGTCATTCTTTTCGAACGAGAATATATTGAGCAAATTTTGTACGACAGAAAAAATGTCATTTGTTTTTCGTTAATTTTACCCCAGTACGGTGAAGTACAACAAGGCTAGAGCAAGTCCCGGGAGGAGAATAAAATCTTGCTTAACATACAATCGCCATGCGCTAATGTACGGGTTATTTATTAGAAACTGGCTGAGCGTGGTCCGGTTAGAGCTGGTTTCAGGCTGATCTGGTTCCAAAAAAATCGATCTTTCGCTTTTGTGGGCCCGCCTTTGGCTGACTTCTTTCAATTTGGGAATTCCATTGTAAACGGACATTAACAGCAAATACTGCAATACAATGGACAATGTGTTCCAAAGTACAAGTGCTATAGCAGAGCTAGTTAACGATATGAAGCTAACGATGAATCCGGAAGCTACCGGAGCTAATAGTTTGCACATTAGGTCGATTCTTCGTATGTTCGAGTTCATGTTCGTGAGGATTCTCGGAGGTTGGCCTTCGGATATCACAACCACCCTATATATTAAAAAAAAAATCGACACAATTATCGAATATGTAAAAATCGGGTTTCGATTAAATTATTTGTCAAGTCTTCTAAAAAAGTAATGGTTAGTTAATACGTGCGTTTAATTCTCACCATTCTCGTTCGACCAAGATTGTCCCAGCTAGAGTTGAGAGCACGCCAATAGCTCCGGAAAAATTAATTAACAGGACAAGAGCTGTAAATGCCACACGATTTACTGATATCCAATTGGGATTGGTTAATACGACAATTACCGAACCCCCGGCTAGCATAAACGATAGATTTTGGCTAAATAGCCAAATCTTGAGAACCTTTTCAAATACCCCAAAAAAAAATCGAGATTCGTTACGCAAATCGATCATGAAACTCCAAATGATGGCAATTTGAACTAATCAGACTTTAAACAAACCTGAACATATGTAAATTTATCCACACACTGCCCGATTAAAGGCCCGAGTAAGGCGGTAGATGAGGATTCGACTATACCATAAGCCGCTGTTAGAAGCAAAGAGTCCGGCCAAACGTTGATCATATACAAACCAACTGAAAACTCCCACATTCTGTTCTTATATTGAACAGAAGAAATATCAACAAGTTCAGTATATTTACAGTACAGAATTTAATTTTTAACAGTTGCTTAGCACAAAACAGAGTGAACTATATATTATGTATGAAAATATTGATGCTTATGAATGTAGAGCCCAGGTTCTGAGTTGGGCTAATTAATTTCGATAAACGGGTCTAGCTCAAGCTCGATTATGGGCTCGATTAGGGTATAAGCTCGGCTCGACTAGTTTACAGCTCTAGATCAAAAACAACATCCAAGAAAACAGCAAAAACAACATCAAAATCGAAAACAAAGCAAAACCCAACAAATTTGAGAAACTAAAATCTCTGGTAAAAAAAAAACTAGAAACAATATCCAACAGAAAACAACACTAAAAAAGTGACAATTTTTAATTAAAAAAAAAATAAATAAAGAAATTTTTACCTGGCACCCCATCTGGCTAAAAAGTGGCCCACGTATAGATTTAGAAGCAGAGTTGAAGAAAAACAAGGTCTTTGTTCTTCTTCTTGATCCAACAATGGTTGATTCATCGTTTTTATTACACACTTTCTTGTTCTTCTTCGTTTTGCTCTGTTATTTAAAAGAAATCTTGTTGAGAGCTGATGCTTAGCTGCATGCGAACGTCGTCGTTTTAATTTATCAGCTATTTTTCTCAGCTTAGATGGAGTTTAACAATTTTCTTAAATTTCGTTTAATTTGGGGTAGGTGAGAGAAATAAATACCTGAAAGTGTTGCTATAAAATAAGAAAAACTATGGTTTTTTGCTAAAATTTGATGTCAATTTGGCTAATGGGTTGATGGTTAGCTAGACAAGATATTTTGACTTGTAGTGAAATAAATATTTTAATTGTACACTTTGAGACGGTTGTTATTGAAATGATAATCAAATATTTTAGTTATATATACTCGTGAAAGCACTGTTCTAAAAATCAGCCTAGGCAGTCGTCTAGACGGCGCCTAGGCGCTAGATGGTGTCCGAGCGTCTCTGATTCGCACAGATCGAAAGAAAAAATCGACCAGGCAGCTAGGCAAGCCTAGACGACCCTAGGCGTTTCTAGGCGGACTTGGTGGGCTCGGCGGCGCCTAAACTGGCATAGGTGGGCTCGACGGTAATTTATTAGTTTTTTTTTTAAATATTAATTACATTATTTTGTTTTTATTTTTTTTTTTAAATATATTAATTTTATTATTTGAACTTGTGTGTGTTGATTTATTATAAGTTGAGATAATTATATTTTGTAGGTTGTTAAAATAAATAAAAAATAAGGTATTTAATATTGATTTTTAAGTCCCGACTAAGCGCCGCCTAGGCCCCGCCTAGACGCTCTAGGCGGTGGTCGAGCGCCTAACGACTTTTAGAACACTAAGTGAAAGCATAAATAAGTTCCAATCGTTCATTTTATATTTAAACGAGCCAAGTTTGAAAACTGTTTAAGAGCTTGTTCGTTAAAGTGGTGGCTGAGTCGAGTCATGATTGTGAACACTGGTCTATGTTATAGTTAACTCACAATTTAATGATTAAATGACTAAAACCGTTACATAAACTTTCAATTTTAGCTTATACCAGCCGAGCCGAGCCCATATATTCATTCAAATATCAGTTGCGTCAAGCCAAGCCAGGCAGTCTCGTTTATTAAAGATGCTTTCGCAAATGATATATATGCAAACTGTACAATGCCGCTGCCAATGTCACCAGCCCGAACGACAATACTATCAACTTCCAGAAATCCTAACAACGAACCGCGAAAAAATTAAGTCGAAAAACATGTCCAAATGAAGCAAAATGTTCGATTCACGGATATGAAAATTTTAACGTAAGAACCTGTGGATTAGAAATTACGATGCCCATAATGTAAGTCATCAACCCGAGGATCGATTGAAGCGAGTCTTGAACGCCGCCAACAATACATCTATCGGATTCTGCAACCCGATCCTGTACACATACACACATCATATAGAGAAGAAAGTCGAGCGATTTTAATGAGTGTTGTGTAAATTCATGCCTGCATTTGTTGAATGACCGATAAGTCGAACATCCATAAACCGAGCCGTGAAGACACGACTCCACCCATTAACATGTATGCCGACAAGAGTTTATCCTTTATAAACACGGAAGCTACGCACAACAAGAGACAAATCCACTGCACATTTTGTTAAAAAAAGATAAAAACACATTTAGTCTTCACGAATCAAAGTAAACGTAAAAAAACGACTGAAAGGAAATGCACCTGAGACCAAATTGACGAAAGACCCGTTATGAGAGTCGAAATACGAGATTGCAAAATGGGGTAAAGGAAAGTGGCGGCTATCCCGACTATAGCATTAAATCCACGTCCCGTTCCAATGACGTAAGCGGAAATGCCTTCCCATTCCAAATAAGCCGTCATTAATGTTCCGAAGCTGCAATAAAAATCTTTTTCGGCATAAGATTGAAAACTGATAATTTTGTTTTCTGCGCATTTGTTTACTTGGATTTTACCTAAGCACGGTAAAGTAAAGCAGAGCAAGAGCAAGTCCTGGCAGAACGATGTCTTGCTTGATATACAATCTCCACGAATTTATATAAGAAAGATTTAAAAACCGATCGATTATAGTCCCTCTCGAGATGCTTTCATGATCATTTTCATCCGAAAAAATCAAGCTTTTTCGTTCCGAAAGGGATTTAAGGTTTTCATCCACTTCCCTAACCGAGAATCTCAAAGCCCTTTTTTGATCGGCTTCTCTTAATCTCGGAATCCCATTGTAAACCGAGATTAAAAGCCGATATTGCAAGTGTACGGATAATATATTCCATAGTGCAAGCGTAAAAGCCGATGCTGTCAGGGAAACAAAACTTATGATGAATCCACTTATCACGGGAGCAAATAGTTTGCAGCTTAGATCAATCCTTCGTATCATCGAGTTCATGTTTGTAAGAATTTCTGAAGGTTGGCTTTCGGATATCACAACCACCCTGTAAAAATCGAAATTATCGACATCTGTAACTTAGTTTTATAAAAAGATTTATTAAAAAAAAAGATGAAATATATTGGCTATAAATGAAAATGTGAGTGAGTTATCACCATTCTCGTTCGACCATGATTGTTCCAGCTAGAGTCGACAGCACGCTAATGGCTCCAGAGATATTTACTATTACAATGAAAGCGAAAAACGCCACACGATTTGCGGACATAAACTCGGGATGGATTAGTATAGCAATCACTGCACTCCCGGCAATTATAAACGAGAGGTTTTGGCTCAACAGCCAAAATTTGAGAACCTTTTCAAAAAAGCAAAACGAAACAAAAAATATTAATAACAGTAATGTTTCTTTTTCGTAACGATTTTTAAATGTTCGAAAAGCAAACCTGAATGTACGAAAACCTATCCACCCAACGCCCGATCAAAGGACCGAATATTGCCATTGATGCGGATTCGGACAAGCCGTAAGCTGCTGCCAGAAGTAAAGATTCAGGCCACACTTTGATCATGTACAAACCCACCGAAAATTCCCACATTCTGTTTTAATCGACAAAATTATACATAGTTTAGATATTTTGCTAACGATATTCGGTTCGGATCGAATTATAACGTTCGATGTCAACTGATACCAACACAACTTACGCAAAAACGTTGAGAGTAAATTTGAACAAAAACGAAACGAATTACAAAGTCTTACTTCAACTGACACCAACACAACTTAGGAAACAATTGTAAGCCCAAATTGAACAATGGAAATGCCATACGAAGAAAACACAACTAAAATAAACATCAAAAATTATATATTAAAACACAAATTCCCCTTAAGCGAACCACAATTTATTTGAAATCAGGATAGCAGAGTACAACATAAGAAATGTTTATGATTAATAAGAAATGAAAATGAAAAAAAAAAAAATATATATATATATAATAAAGGGAGATTCGACGATCCCAGAACCATTCCATCGAGGTTTGTAACTATTAAATCAAGTTTGTAACCGTTAGATCAATCTAACGGTTACAATTCCCGACGGAATGGTTCCGTAACGGGACTGTAATATTTTCCGATAATAAAAGGCTGGTAATACAAAATTCATAAGTGTGAAATTAAAACCTAGCACCCCATCTGGCTAAAAAATGGCCGATATAAAGATTTGTGAGTAGTGAAGAAGAATATATTGTAGCCTCATTTTTCGAAATCTCCATTTTTTTGTTTCTTTTAATGTTGTTTTGCGCCGATTTTGTTATTCGTTTATAGTGACACAGTCGATGTATGATACTGCATCGATGATGACGATGATGGATGCCTCGGATGACGTGATCAAATCTTAATTGCGGAGTTATGTTTGTTTATTGATTTGGGTAATTTTAAGTTGACTATATTAAAAAGTCAACTATTTATTTAATTTGAATAGGACGGTCTAGTGAAGCTATGAAGCAATGGGCTGAGTTCAAGTTCATGTGGGCATTATACACAAACTTGTGTGTAGGTTTTTATTTATATTACAGGAAAATGTTAAGGTTTCGTTATAGAATCATTCTGTCGGGATTTGTAACTGTTAGATCAATTATCTTTGACGGTTGCAGGATGATCTAACAGCTACAAGCCCGACGGAATGATTCCGTAACGAGATATACGAGTGTGTATTACGCTTAAAAAAACCGTTCCACGCGAGTAGGATGAAATTAATCGAAGGAATGTATATTTTGAAATTTATGAATATGGATTCATCAATATATTTAAATTTCAAATAAATTTATGTATGTTCATATTATGAAAATAATAGTTATTCAACGGTAAAAAATGGAACTACGCATATAAATGAACAGAAATCTATAATAATAGAGAAATCATGTAAATACCTATATTCTTTTTTTTTTCTTCCAAACGTCAATTATATTAATAACTAAAATCTCAAAAGAGAACATTCGAAGTGTCAAAATGATACACTAGAACCAGAAAATTGGACTAACCCCCCTTGTCGACAGACACAAGAGGGTACAAACTCCATCAACGAGGCGAACAACTACAAAACAAAACTCCATATAGGAGAGAAAAACAGACACGGCTGCACTAAAAGAAACAGAACAACAAAATAAAAATCAAACGCAACACATACCTAATAAACAACAAGATAGAATAAAACCTCCCTTAAACCTAACAACTGAAACCCAGAACCACTTGAACTGTCTACCAAGTCACACCTTAACAAAGAAAACCAACAGAGCACCAAAACTAGGCTCCAAACCTGAAAACTGTTGTCACTCTACTGCCTAGACGAACTTTCGGCCCAAATTTGAGCGCCGAAGACCTTCACCACTGGGGAAAAGAAGGAGAGCCATCACGAACCCGCCGGAGGACTAGAAGGGAGAGATCAAGTAGACGGCAGCCTGCAATCGAGCCACCCGGCCCGAAGGACCTGCAGCCCGGTTGAACAGGGGCACACAGGACGCGAGTTGGGCTCGCCCACGCCAAGGTCCGTCTCCAAGAAGAACATGGCAGTGCAAATCGAGCCTCCAAATGGACCGACGAACTCCCGCGGCTGGGCCTTGCAAGAGAAGCCGACGACCTCGCCGGAGGCGGGGGATAAACTGAGGAGCGAAAATCGCCACTGGCCAACCACCCGCAGCACTCCTAGAGGGGAAAGGAAGCACCCAGCCGCGACATGGCCGGAACGGCCCGGTGACCACGGGAGTCGCGCCGTCGGAGAAGGGGGGCAGCGTTGGAGATTGGTTTTCTTTTTCTTTCGAGGCGGAGAAAGGGGAAATTAGGGGGATAGGGTAAATACCTATATTCAATAACTATTGGTATTAACTATTATGTGCAACCTAATAATACCAACATTGAATTATGTAAGGCAGAGTCATTTTGAACATCGAATTATGTAATTTCAGTTAAAAAATAAGAAATTGAGTTTGGTATAGAATTTGCTGTAAAAGTGGTGTATAAAATCATGTTAAGCCCCTTATATAAAGCAACCAGAAGGAAAACACAAAATACAGTTTCTTTTGACTTTTATAATGAAAAAAAAATGTTCAGCAATCAACTTCTAAAAAATGTCATTACATTTGATACTCAAATCTCAATTGACATAAATTTGTAACAACTAACAAGAGGGCCATAGCACACTTTCCAACTAACAAAAGGTTATAAAGCACATGAGATATCCACAAAAGCCAGCTTCAAAAAACTTATCCAAGAACCCTGCAAAACAAAAGCATATTACTAAGGTTGTATTTTATTGGTTTATTTTATTTCAGTATAGTGAAGTATAGTAAAAAGTTAAAAACCATAACAACATTCTACAGCCAAAATAGCACAAAACCAATCATAAGATGAACAGTAAAAAAAAAAGTCAAAATCAAAATCACTCCTTAAGCACCCCAACCATCTTCCTCATACATTTTGTAATGACATTGAAAACAAGATATTGAGTTCAAAATCAACCACTTGAACACATGATGAAATCAAAATACCTATGAAAACCCATGAAATTGCAACAGAAGCATGAAATAAGCACAATCGATTATGTTCAACATGCGACCGAGAAATTAAGCTTAAGAGACGAAGCAAACTGAGTCAACTGATTTAAATGTAGCAAATGATTAAAAAATGAAGTTGTCACCATATTAGCACCTACCTAATTGGACAGAAAATCAGGCACAAGAAGTGATGAAAACAGAGCAAATTAAACTAAGAGCAAACAGAAAACTCCAAAAACAGCTCACCTTTTGTATGTATAATACAAAGAAAACGATCAAGACTCGCTGCCTGACTCATCCGAATCAGATTCACTCGCATTGTAACCTACAACAATCACAAGTTAAGCAAAATTTTAATGTATTTATTGTAATACAAACCAAAAAAAAAGTATGATTTGCAGAACAAAAACAGACGACTGCCCGGGCACTGGTGATGTTATCCGAGCCTAGCCGATTAGCATATGATCAAGCTCATGCTCGTTTAATAACAGAGTCGCCTCGGCTTGTTTGATAAGCAAACAAAATGCTTGGCTGGTTTAAGTTCATAAAACCTCGGCTCAGCAATTTTAATCACCTAAATACCTAAACGAGTTGTTCCCTAACACGAAATATTTGTTCACAAACATGTTCAACTAGTATGTTCTCTTTACAACAAAAATATGAGTTGTTTGAGAACAAGCTCGACTCAGTTTGTTTTAATAAAGAGCTCGATTAGCTGTTCAAGCAGCGCTTATTCGAGCAAGCTATATTCACGAACAGCTCGATTCAAACAACAACTCTACCGAGCATAGAGGAAAAAATGAGGAGCTCACCAGGACGTTTACCGATAACTCCCCACACAGAAGACCTCACTCTTGAAGCCCTTGTAAACCAAAAATTCCCCTAAATTACAAAGGCCACATAAATTTGAGATAATCAGAAGGTAATAAAACAGCAGAAAAATAGATAACGAATAAATCAAGTTTTTTTTTTTTTTTCAATTATCAATCACAAAAGTCCGACCTTGACACAGTGAAAATCAGAGAGAGAAAGAGAGTAAAAAGATTAGACCTTGCCGGCGTTTTTGGGAACGCCGTAGCCACTGTAGTACATCTGGCCCACGAGCACCTGCATATTGATGTCGCCGGCCCTTGCCTCCTTCAGCGCGTCCTCGAACCACCGCTCGACGCAATCGGCAACAACCTTCGACAGAGGCAGCCGCCGCTTCTCGGCCGCGTTGCCGCTGTTCTCAGCCTCCATCGCCGTCCTGTTTTCTTCTGCTGCTGCTGCTATAGCCTCCGCTGTTCTTTCACCTCCGCCGCCTTCTGATGGGCCGTGTGGTTGATGGTTTTTTCCATGAGTGGATGAAAAAAATCCCTAATTATTTATACCTCTTTTGCGGCCATGATTTTCGCGTTGGATAATTTGGGGGATTTTGGGATGGTTTTTCCGAATTAGGGGGTTGTGAAAATCCATCCATCTGTATTGCTTTCCAGTTCATTATCAGCTGGTCAAGAACAGACGACGTCGTATAGAGACGATATGTGAAGTTTGACTTGATAAAGTCAATGGCTAGTATCTTGTTCCGTGTATACTTGTCAACTAGTGGAATAAATTCAATTAGGAAAATAAATTAACTAATTTAAATTTTCTGTGACTTTGTTGATTTTGCAATCTAAATATATATAATTTACTAATAAGTTGCAATCTGAAATTTGGGAATTTGAACATTATTAGGTGTCCACCAAAACTTGATAATTTTTGTATTGAATAATAAATTTATATAGGAGTACTACTTTGTATGGAGTGCAAGATAATGTAGATATAATAGTGCTTAAGAGCATATGGAGATGTAAAGTAGTCAAAAGTGAGCTCGTGCTTTTAATACTCAAACTCTCAAACTCAAACTCTGACCTTTATCGAGTCGAACTCGTTAACTAATTGAGTCGATTCAAATTCGACTTATTTATGAACATTAGTCAAGTCAAACTCAAGTATTAAAACCCCTATTTCTTGATCCTAACTAGCCAAGTAATCAAATGAGATCGAGTTTGACTCATTATCAGAACTAAAACCAAAAGAGATCGAGTTGACTCATTATCAGAACTCAAACCGAGCCGAGTCAAGCCCACAAGTGCCTTGGTTAGTGTAATAGCTTTTAATTAGTTTAATATTCGAGCGTAGACTCTAATATTTATCTAGCCAAAGCTGGTTAATTGAGTCGATAAAAAAAAACTCAAATTTGGCTTATTTATCAACATTAGTCAAGTCAAACTCAAATAATAAAAAGTTGAACTAAAGTATTAGTTAAATACCCTCTTTCTTGATCCTAACGAGCCAAGTAACTAAATGAGCTCAAGTTTGGCTCATTATCAGAACTCTAGCCGAGCCGAGCCGAGCCGGACACACAAGTGACTTGGTTAGTTTTACAGCTTTTAAGAGCGTAAATCACAAGAAAAGTGTAAAGAGAAGTTGCTAGTGTATACAAACAAGGACAAACTGAACTTGTGCTTTCACGCATGAAATCTGTTCAGCCAGCTACAAAATTTAACCTTTAAAAATTTTCCCAAATATAAGAACATGTATAAACTCTGTTCATCATTTGAGTCAAATGTATCTGAACTTTTTAACATAAACACTATGATTGGCCACTCGTGAGTGAACCAAAAAGCAGAAAAAATGAATCTGGAACTATAGAGAAATAAAAAATCACATTCCTTTCATTTTTTTAACAGAAAAATATTTCTAAATTGAAGCGCTAAAAATGTTGCTCCCTGTAATAACATTCTACGAGTCACTCCAACTATCGTCATCTTCATCACTATCAGCGAAGGCCTGCAACAATCACTCCCATCGTTAATGAATCTATCCTCGTTCACATGAGACAAGAAAGATAAAGCAGTGGCCAAAAGAAAATTAAAAATAAAAAGAAAAATAGAAAAGAAAACCTGTCTAATCGAATTTGCTTTTTCCACGATTGCAGCGACTCTAAGATTCGTGCTGGGACCACGAATGATTGGCCGTGAAGTCGATGCAGGTCTCAGGTTGAATGACTGACCAAACAAAAAAAAGAAAAAATTGCCATATGTATTCTGAAGAATCACTTATGCAAGCAAAACAAACTTAATGTATGATCCATTAAAATCCTACCTTGGTCCTTATTTGCTCCAATATCGAATCCCTTTCATCGACCTTCTGTACCTGTGGTCTGACTTGTTCTGTTACTTTCCTTAGCTGCAAAATGAGTTTGAAAATCTTAAATTAGTAAATTACAAATTTTTCTACTGAATGAGTAAAAAGATGATAATAAGTAATAACCATATTACCTTGATCTTATCGAGGGCAACAAATTCATCGACAACAGGATTGCGGGCAAGTGGTAGCTTCCCCACCCGGCTCCCATTTGCATTTCCATTATTCTTTGGTGCTGATGTGGATTCTTCGATCATTAGTGAGAAGTCAACCGTCTCACGAACAGCATTGATTTTCACATGAGAACCTTCTTCAATCAGGGACATTGGCAGTTTCTCAGCTCGTATCTCATTTTCACTAACATCTTCCTTGTCTGCTGACATGGACTCATCCCCTGAGGCCAACATGACTAACTCATGTTGCTTATTCTCACTATTTGGTAAAAGGTCAGCTGTCTCATTAACAGTATTGACTTCCGCAAGAAAAACATCTTCAATCCGGGACCGTGCTGGCAATTCCTCTGGTCCGCTACCATTTCGTACTCCGCTTTCCTTGTCTGCTGATGTGGACTCATCCCCTGAAGCCAACACGACTATCTCCTGTTGCTTATTCTCACTATTTGGTAAAAGGTCAACTGTCTCACGAACTGTGTCGACTTCCGCACGAAAAACATCTTCAATCAGGGGTGGTGCTGGCAGTTCCTCTGCTCGGCTCACATTTCCTATTCCGTTTTCCTTGGCTGCTGACATGGACTCACCCTCTGAAGCCAGCACGACAAAATCCTGCGGCTCAGTTTCAATCTTGGGCGAGAGGTCAACCGTCTCACGAACAGCATTGACTTCCGCACAACCTGGCAGTGTACCAGCTTGGATAATGTTTTCATTTACATCTTCCTTGTCCGCTGACGTGGACTCATTCCCTGAAGCCAGCACGACTAACTCATGTTGCTTATTCTCACTATTTGGTAAAAGGTCAACTGTCTCACGAACAGTGTTGACTTCCGCACGAAAAACATCTTCTATCAGGGATCGTGTTGGCAGTTCCTCTGTTCGGCTCCCATTCCCTATTCCATTTTCCTCGTCTGCTGAGGTGGATTCATCCACTGAAGCCAGCACGACTAACTCCCGTTTCTTATTTCCATTCCTTGGTGAAAAGTCAACCTTCTCACAAGCAGCATTGACTTCCTCCGCTGTTGATGTCGACTCATGGTCAACCCCTGATGCAGGCAAAACTAACTCCGGTTGCTTACTTTCACTCTCCGGCGAAAAGCCAACCTTCTCACAAGCATCATTGACTTCCTCCGTTGTTAATGTCGACTCGTGGTCAACCCCTGAAGCCGGCAAAACTAACTCTGGTTGCTTATTTTCACTCCTCGGTGAAAAGTCAACCTTCTCACAAGCATCATTGACTTCCTCCGCTGTTGATGTCGACTCATGGTCAACCCCTGAAGCCAGCAAAACTAACTCCGGTTGCTTATTTTCACTCTTCGGTAAAAAGTCAACCATCCCACAAGCAGAATTGACTTCCACACAAGAATTTTCTTCAAGCTTCTCATCTTCTTCCGGTCCGGACTCGTCATGAATTTGAATCCGAGGCTCGTGTAGAGACCAGTCATCATCACTGGGAATAACCGAGCGAGAGAATAACAATGGGACTAATGGCTCATGCTTGATGGAATCTCCCCCGAGCTTCCCAAGCCTCCACTGAACAGGCGGGAGAGGTGGCAATGGAGGCAAGTCAGCCAGATTTATCTGATTCGTATTATCCAGGAAAGGGTTATTTGGAGGCAAAATGGAAACCAATTGAGCTTCTGTTCGATCATCATTATCGAACGTTTGCTGGTTATTTGTAGGCAACACGACTGGGACCTCTTCTAGACTCATTTGATCGAGTTGTTCTCTGGGAAGAAAACCAATTTCTTCATTTTTATAATTGGAAGGCAAAGATGGAGCATTAGGCATGCTTTGCTCCTCAAGCAGATGAGTTATATCGGGATAGTCTAAATCCAAGGCCCAATCACGATGTGAATTAGGGATAACAGCTGATATTTCCGATTCAGGTTCGTCTTTACTATTATCATTATAGTCGGGTAAGGTTTTTTGAGAATCAGGTAAAGCTGCTCTTATTTGGTCCACTGCCCCATTAATATGATGTTCGATCGATTTATCTGTACTTACCTGTGCAGAAATATCAACGTTTATCACATCGTACAAAAGTGCAGGCGAAGAAGAAGCCATATCCGCATCAGATGGTTTATCTGCCCCTAAATTATACTCATCCAACCGAACTTGAACTTCATTCGATGAAATCAGGTCAGCGGGGCTTGAATCGTCAAGAACACGAGCCTCGTTTATTGTTTTGTCTTCTTTATGAATAACATCAGAGCCTGCATCTGAAATATCGGAAGGGTTTGCTTGAGCCGAAAACAATAAATTCGTAAATACAGCCCAATTGTCAACTGAGGTATTATTAGAATGACTGTCTTCATCATTTGAAAAATGAGCATTGTTCGATGATTCTTCCTCAAGTTTCTTCTTCATAAAGAAATTCTCCGTGACACATGGGACTTGATTGGGGGATTCAGTCGGAATATCTGAACGCTCGCTATCATCCAATACATTGACTGGATTTTCCACTATTGAAATCATGGGCTCAATATTTTCTCCATTATATACAATGTCAGGATGCTCGGGTGGAAATTCTTCTGGCAACTTTTCAAACACATCATCATTCGATTCACCAGGAAATACATTTGCAGAATAAGTTGTCTCATTCAAAGTACCATTTTCTGTATGATGGTGCATATAAGGAACAGTAGACGTAAAATTTATGCTTTCACCATCATTCGGGTCCTCCACCTGATGTTCTCTAGCAGAGAATCTTTGAGAATCGACTTCAGACTGTAAGTCAGATTCAGAGAAACAAGGCGAACAAAGTGAATCCATGCCCAAGTTAGACTTATTTTCTTCATCATCATCTAGTTTCGAGTCCGTTTTTCCAAATGCAGGCCCGTCTGAAGTGCCTTCTATTCCCGCTACAGTTTCTGAAAGCTGACCGAATGGATCAACAGAAAGAAATCCTTCAGACAAAATTCTTCCAGTTCGTGGGTTTTCATACGAGGTACTCGGAGAATCAGAGGACAAAATGGTCATTTCTTTCATCGACGAGATGTTGGCTTCATCCGATACTGTCGATCGAGAATCGTACGACCTTATCTGAAGATTTTCACTGCTTTCATACGGAATCAAAGATTCATTTTTTATATGCGAGCTTGTTCGGTTATCCTCGACTCGCAATCCGGAATCTGCATCCACCTCATTCGTGATATCTTCCGACTGATAACCATTTAAGCTGCTGCTTTCACCATCCATGGCTATAACCTTTTCACCATACACTCTATCGGGAGTTGATGAGCGGCTGCCCGTTGCACTATTCGGATACATATCAGGAACCTCACAACAGATTGTATCATCTATTGCGATCTCACCGGATTTGTATATAGAAGAATTCAACATAATTTCATCTCTATCTGGAGATGAAGGAGGACTTCTTTTTCTGCCCAAAGTCTCCCGGTCGGGACTCACCGAGAGTACTTCAACTCTTTCAAGACCAGACTCGTGATGATGATCAAACGTAGGCATCACATATTCATTATTATCTAGCGAAGGGTAGTTTAGTAATTTCTCCATATAACTCGGTTCAGTTCTCGTGCCGAACGGGAAGCCGTTCAGCTTTCTTTTTAGTTTCGCACGGTGGGTAGTCGAGTTGCTAGCCACAGTCTCGATACGCTCCTCCATGAAAAGCTGATGGAGTCTACAAGGGTTATAAGGAAAAAATGAGATGCATTTCGTTCTTCATCGACAATTGAACATGGTATTATTTGTTAGGAAAACAGAGATAGATATCACAAATATGATATAAATATCTCACTTGGTATGTGATGACGGTAAAACTGCAGGGGTTTCTCTATTTCTCACGCGTGGCCCTTTCTTCTGGTAAACATGCAAACAATAATGTTCAAGAAAAATGTATTTAGTCATTGGCACCTTGGGCAGTTTTAACTTTTAAATTTAGGGAGTGTACAAGCAGTTTAACTCAACTTTAACTCAACTTCACTATCCTCAATATTATCAATATAATTAAGTAATACCACTTAATCATTCTTACACATTACATCAACTTTAATTCACTATCATTCACTCACATAATTTTAACTAACCATCACTTCACATCATATTTTTCCTACTTTTACATCAAATCAACTTTAATTATTTATTTTAAATGTTATTATCAATATAGATTCAAAATCCCACTAACAACTAACCATACCATTTTTTTTCAAAAACTAACCATGCCAAACCAAAAAATCCAAACAAAATCAAAATATTTTTATATCCAAGCATCCCCACTCCAGATCTCTTCTTGATCTTATTGCAAAGCACAAGTTCTTTCTTTAAGGAATTATTACCTTTGGTTTGCGGATCTTCTTTTCCCTCGAGACATCTGCTTTAGTCATTCCAGAAGTTTCTACTTTAAAGAAGGAAGGATCGGTGTAACGCTTTAGACAGGCTCCAGCTCCGCCAACATCAAACCTGTGTTGAAGATGTTTATTTTTCACATAAAAGTTTTCATTTTCAAGCAGGACAGATTTAATCAACTTTAAACTGAGTAGGGCATACTTGTCTAGAAGAAACAGGCGAGGAGGAGGCCTGCTTTCTTCATAGGAATCCCTTACAAATCGAGGTAAATCTCCCTTGGTAACTATATTCTGGTCTACTTGTATATTGGGATGCCAATCAATACCTGCATCACAATATTTATACCACATTACATAAACGAATGATTCGGATTTCAATGAACAGTAAACAAGAGGGTGAATTCGTGATAAACAAATCATAGAAAACAGAAGATTAGCCAAACCAGCTCGTTTGAAGTATGATGAATGATCCGTCTGGGAAAGAAATGCTCTCTCGATGGAAGGAATCTCAGTCTCGAGCTGCTGAACTCGACTCATTATACCATGACCTCTTGCTGCAGTTGCCATAACATCTTCGTGCAGGTTATGAAAAATCTCGGCAGCAAACCTTCAGTAATTACAAGAAACAAGCAATTAGGAGGTTCTCTGTAGAAAATAATTTTATTTTGCTTTTCCAAAAAAAAAAAGAAAGGAAAAGAAAAATGAAAAACAACCGAGCCCTGTGATTGAACGGAAAGCACGAAATACAACTTCACGTAAACGAAAAGGAAATGCATTATCAAATCGACATTTGTAAACACTAAAAATGCCTGACCAGTCATCTCAACCAGGAAAACAAGGCAACCAACTAATAGAAATTGTAATATTAGAGCCCAACACAGAAGGGATTAGGGATTAAAGCTTCTCCATAAACTCAACATATCCATACATCAGATAGAAAGAATAAAAACTTGACTGATAGAGTACCTATTGAAAAAAGAAATGGAAAAGAGGACCAATAACGACAAATGCTGAATAAAGATTAAATTTTTAACTATTAATAGAGAAGATGCCAAATTATTATCCTATTTTCATAAGCAACTATGCTCTGTCTGGAACTCCAATCTGTTATCAAATACAAAACCAAATATATCAAAGCTACTACACACATATGCACACACACAGTTATACGAAAAAACTAAAACTAAAATCTTCAAAACTGCGAAGAAATCAGAATCACCACCACAGAACCCCCAATTGACCCACATTCCGATTTCCGATCAAAAACACCCCAATTCCAACGAAATCACCCACAAAAATTACCCAAAAAAAAAAACTGGACTCACTCGGCGAGGTCACCCAGCTGGCGAAGAACTCCGACCAAGCCAGCGATGGCGACGCCTTCGAGCAGCGCCTCCGGATCATCCTTCTCGGCGGACCGGTACAGCTCCGGATCGGCTAAAGTGTACTCGTTCCTAATATCGTATCTGCTAATCGGCATTTTTTCGAAATTCCCCGATTCAAACCCCAGCCGGATTTGGTCAATTCGTCGACCGTCAGCTTACCCACCGCCGACCGCCGATACATATAAATGCTGGAGAGAGAGAGAGAGAGAGAGAGAGAGAGAGAGAGAGGTTTTCTGTTAATTATTTGGGTGAAAAATCTGTGAGGAGCAGAGAGGAGTCAAGGACTCGAAGTACTGTTGAAGATAAACTATATAAACAAAAATATTTTATTTCAGAAAATAAATATTCATTCAAAAAAAAAAAATTACCAAAATTATATTTATGTATGCTTGGCCAAAACAAAAAATGTTTATTTTCTAATAACAATTTATTTATTAATTTGGAATTTTGAATATGATATTCATTATTTTTTCTGAATTCCGCCGCATCTGACGCCAGTTATGGTGGGCTTTGATGCAGAGTATCTGAATCGGATCGGGTTTTTTTGTCTTGACTCTTGAACTCTTAACCGAATTTTTGTTTCTCAGTAAAAAAACAAAAAGAACGAACTCTATTAAATTATTTCAAAAAAATTATGGAGTTATCGGATGGTTTTTTTATGGAGCCATCAATCACTTAATGTATTGACACTTGTCCAAAGTGTATTTATCGTAAGACACGTGTCAATACACTATTTGTGAATAACTGTGGATGATTCTATAAACAGAGTCATCCGATGGCTCTGGAGTAGTATGTGTTATATGCAATTTTTTTTTTCTCCAACAATATCATTGTGAACTTCACAATTCATCATGCTAAAAGATTATACAATTTGAAGTGCAATCGTTCAATTTTAATCAATACAAAGTGGAATTGTTAAACAAATTGAATCTTTTAGTAAACTTTAGATGAATTAATTATTATTCGGATTCGGCTCAGCTCGACTCATTTGATAAACGAGTTAAATTTGAGCTCGTTTAACAGGTGACAGTCAAGCCTTTGTTAGGCTTAATAGATAAAGAAATTTGCGTAACTTTTTTTTATTATTACTCTAATTCAACTTATTAAAATTCAATATCGACTTATTAATTTCAATAAATGAATCGAGATCCAGTCTGTTTATCGGCACAACAGAAATTCTATGGAACCATCGAATGACTCTTTTATGAAGCAATTTATAACTTGATGTGTTGACACATGTTCGATGTATTTATTTTAAAACACGTGTCAATACACAATTTGTGAATTTTGTTAATAACTGTTAATGACTCCATAAGCTGAGTCATCCGATGACTCCGCTTAACTCAATTGGTTGTATTTTTTTTTGTTAACTATGTCCTCACCGTATTTTTAGGTTTAGATAATATTGCCCGACCTAATCCACATGGATCATATGGCTTCCATTTAAAGCCTATAGTTATTCTAGTAATAAAGATTATATGTACGTTACTAAAAGCATTTTCTTTTGCGAGGCCTACCAACCACTAAGTCATTTTCCTTTTCTATATCTTTTATTTATATTTTTTTTTTTGGTACATTATATTTATTTATTCATTACACTGCTTTTCAAAATGAAAATCATAAGAGTCTTGAATTGATCATGTCCACTAAAATAGTTAATTCTTTGTTTGAAATCATATATGATAATGACTTTTTATCTATTATTGCGATATTAAAAAATAAAAATGCAAACTCTTTAAGGAGGTGAGTGGTTGGGGTTGCGGATGGGTGCGACCTTGGTGGCTTGGCTCGTATGAGTCGGGTCGACCGGGGTCGAGGTGGGTTGGTTCGTCCATCTGTGTCCACTTTGCTGGTTTGGTGGAGTTGGACGCTCGACAGGCCCGGATTCTGGCCATTGGTGTTTGGCCGGGTCGCGGGAAGCGGGTCTGTGTGGTGGAGCTGATTGATCCTCGTTGGGCTGTATGTAGGCTTCATCTTAGAGTGGTTCGAGGCATGGACTCTTTCTTTGCTAGGCATTAGGCAATGCCGGGAGTGGTGTTCCGGCTT